AGCCTGGAGCCTGGACAAGTGACTTGGGACAGAGAAGATGCTGAGAAGGGAGGTGGGTGGGGTGCTGTGCACAGTTGTGCATCTGTTGTGATACATGGCGAAGTGTGCTTCCCCCAGGCCAAGAAACTGAGTTTCCCTGCGCTCTGTTCCCCTAAGCAGCAGGGAGACCCTACATGGATGCTGGCTGAGAACAGCCACCCTCACCCTGCTTTCTCCAGCCTCTTCTGGCCTCCAGAGTGTACTGGGGAGGCCTCAGGGGCTGCATAGCAGAAGTGCACTCCAGCTTCTTCATGTAACGGGTGTGTCCATCCTACCACGTGTAGGCCCCGTGTTGGCAGGGATTGCTCTGGATTCAGTCCAACACAACCACAAACCGTAAAACATGAGATTTTACTTTTGTAATTCAGTTGTGTGTTCTTGAGAGGGATCTCTCTGTAGTTGGTGCTGTATCGCGATGTCAAAAGTTTGGATGCACCTGCTAGAAATTTCCAGCATTCATGGGTTTGGGTGAACGCCCAGCACTTCCTGGGTACGTTTGGCCAGCAGGGCCTGCGAGTGCCTGCCCGTGCGCTGACTCTGCTTTCCCTCCAGGACCTCATCAAGGTACACCACAGCTTTCTGCGGGCCATCGATGTGTCCATGATGGCGGGCGGAAGCACCCTGGCCAAAGTTTTCCTTGAGTTCAAGGAGAGGTGAGTGAGTCGGGGCTGGACTGGTGCCTCTGCCCTGTTTTCAAGGCTTGGGAGAGCTTATAACTCCTCCATCCTACCTAGGCAGGACGGCAGAGTCGGGCAGTTCACTAAGGTTGACCCTCAGGTTCTGGGGACTGAGGGCCGGTGGCCACTTGCCTCCTGACCCCTGTTCTTCCTTGTAACCAAGATCGCTACCTCCTATCTCCCCATCACACCCCCATTTAGATAGGAGGGGCTTGTGGGGCCAGCCCTCTCTAGCTTGTTAGGATCTTGGTGGCATGTTTCTGTCATCCCAGTGCACCCACTGGGTACCAGGCCTGGAACCTAAAGAGACCTCCCTACTCACCCCTGCATTCTGGCTGTCATCTTGGTGTGAGATAAGCAAGTCTCAACTGCTTCTAATGAGAGAAGGGAAGGGAGGGCTTGGGTTGTGGCTCAGTGGGTAGAGCATCTGCCTATCTGCCCAGCATGCATGAGGCCCTGGGTTCGAGCCCCAGCACCGTATAATATCAGGGACAGCTATCACCTTAGCATTGGGGGGCAGGGGTGGAGGCAGAGGATCAAAAGTTCAGGGTCATCCTCAGTTACATAGTGAGTTCAAGGCCCAGACTGGGATATGTGACACCCTGTCTAGAGACACAGACTTGGGACAGAACAATTTGAGGTGGTGTGGCTGTGATCTCAGGGTTAGGACTGAGGTCACTTCCTACCTTGTTAACATTGTGTACTGGGCCTCAACTTGCCCACCTGTGAATTAGGCATGAACTAGACTGAGCCTCACTTTCCGTATGGGTGTTCGCTCAGTGGAAGGCTGCTTTGGCTGGGCGGGAAGATAGGTTCAGACAGGGCAGACACCAGTGAGACTTTGCACCAACACTTAAAGAAATGCAGGTCGGATGAAGTG